AAAGTACGCAAATTTTCTACGAAAGATTCATAATTTCCTTCAGAAGATCGCTTCGCAGATATCGAAATTTGGAGTCAGCGTTTCGAGGTGCATCTTACAGTATACATCCCATTCTAAATGGCCACGGTGACCGAGTATCCTTTCCTCGTTAGTTAGTCTAGTTTCTTACCTGTGGCACGCATATCTGACATGTTGGCAACATGCAACATCACACTGGCAAGACTGTGGCTTCTGGCCTTAATGTCAACATGTTGTTGCATGTTGCCAACATGGTCCACACGCGTCGCAGGTCAGAGACGCAGACCAAGGGAGCAGCAACTTGAAACGGACGATATCTTGTTCTCGACAGCTTATTGCAAACTCGTTTCCTGCCAGATTACAAATGTGGCACAAGCTAAACTTGATTTGCCTTATTACTTCGCTGTTGGTCAGGTAAGTGAAGTGACCAATAGCGAAGCGGATGTCCACGATCGATTTCATCCACTTCATTTCTTCGCTATAAATTTCACTGATAACCATTAACGGTGCTATTCAAGTATCCGGCCCATAAAATTTTTTGACATTGACATGGATTTTCCTGAAGCTTGGTCCAAGGGGGTTATTCGATCCGCTGATGCTGAATATCACATTGGTTTTGTATCGTAGCGTCATTTTCTCGGGTTATGGTAGGTATAAGGTAAGGGGTCAAAATTCCAGAATTCACTGAAACTTGACCCAAGGGGGTTATTCGGCCCGTTGATGCCGAATATCACATTGGTTTTGTGCAGTAGCGTCATTTTCTCGAGTTACGGTTAGTATATGGCACGGGGTCGGAATCTCAAAATTCGCTGTAACTTCGCACGGAGGGGTTACTCGACATGCTGATTTAAATTTTACGCTTTCTCTGCACGAAAACATTTACCTGCATGGTTACGGTGAGCTTACGGTATGGGTCAAAATCACAAATCGGCAAATGTATCTTACCCTTGCGCTTTGCTTAGACAAAAGCCGCAGCAGGGTGTGTAGCGCGCGGCGGTGGTCGTGTGTGCAAAGCTTCACGATCGTTCGATTCGCCGTACACCCGTTTCAGGCAGAACAGAGTTTTTCGCTCGTTACCGTGTACCTACCGTAACCCGAGAAAATGACGCTACGGTAAAAAAACCAATGTGGTATTCGGCGTCACCGGGCCGAATAACCCCTTTGGGCCAAGTTTCAGCAAAATCCATGCGAAGAAAATTTTGGGGCTCCGATACTGGAATATTTACCGCCCCATGTAACAAAGTGGATGAAGTGAGTCAAGCGGATCAAGCGGATAAAGTGTCAAATATGCTTCCTAAATGAGCTTTAATAGGTTGCTAGGGGTAGAGGACTATATGCTGCCGAATGTAGGAGGGTCCACGCTGACTTCTTGCAAAGGCGCACCTCCGAGCATGTGCAAGGGCGCATATTTGTTGCAAATGACCGCGGAGCCCGCCCCCTTTCGACATATAGTCCTCTACCTGCTTGCTTGCGCATTGGGCTTTCTCAATTTCCTTTTTCAAACCTTATTATCTTTCTGCATAACATGTTAGCTTTTAATCACCTAAAGCACTTTTAAAAGTATGGGTTGCTTGAGTTTGAGGCTTTGTGGCATCTCGCGCGCGCAGTGGCTGCAAATCTACCGACTTTCGCGATCATGCAGAGCCCTTAGGTAGGTGCCAGACTTATTCGATTCAACCGATTCATGCGTTTAACCCCGTTCGCTACTGGGCAATTCACGGTTGACCAGTAGCGGATGAGTGAGTCGGATGAACCGCCTGAACCGGATAAGTGCACTATATGATTCTTCATAAGTAGCAAAATCGTAACTGGCCAAGAGATCTTGAGTTTTGATGCCGTGCACTCTCAAGTAGGCGTCAGACCAAGCGACTATTTTGTTCAGCTGCAGAACGCGCGCAGAATTGACATTAATTTTGCGCCGTCCTACAGCTGAAGCAGAGGGGTCCTGCGCAGATTTAACGTTAATTCTGCACACCTTCTGCAGCTGAACAAAATAGTCGCTTAGTCTGGCGCCTGCACGCTTGCACAACACTTGCACTGAAAGGCAAGTGGGGCCCTAAGCAAGGCACGGCCCAAGCGGCAGCGCAAATAACTCACTAATATACGCCTCCAAACTGGACGCCAAAATCGTTGGTTGGGCAGTGTCTTAGTTAGGGTCCCAAAATTACTGTCCACGTGAGATCCCCATATGTCCAGATTTGAATGGACGCTGCCTTTAAGATGAGGGTCTTTTTTGGCGGCATATGATAGTAGGGCCCAATATCAAGCCAATGTCAAAGTCGCGGCGCAAAATGTCGCTTCTGAAGCGGGAAATCGCTCCGGAATAACGAAAATGCACGAAGACCCAGACGGCACCGCCCTCCCCATTCATGCCCGCTCATCCGTGCGCGACCATTCAATCACCGTTCCGGAAAGCCGGTCTGTGGGTTCTCCGGAACGGGGATTCGGGGTTTTCGAGGATTCTGACTTCATATTTGGAATCAGACATAAGAAAGCTCCGGAACGATCAAAACATGGAAATCGAGAATTTGGATGGACGGTGCCTTTGAAGGCAGTATCCGGGCAAAAAGTCGTTTGAGATTTTGTTCCTATCCGGGCCTATTCGCTATGCTGAATCCGAAAATCCACACTGGAAAGTGCGAAAACGGCGAGAAGGGGCTCTAAGGTAGAGGGGAAATCAGAAGTGGGCGGGGTCTTCCCCTCTATGATTTCACGGTCCCAGCTCCCGGAGCGATCTTCTCGTTCCGATTTCAAGTCATGCATTCGCGGCTTGTGGAGATGTCAGGACGGCTAGTGGAATTGAGAAGATCGCTTCGGAAGCTGGGAGTGTGAATTTACAGTGGGGAGAACCACGCCCACCTGCTGATTTCCCTCCTATGTTAGATTTCCCTCCTACCCACCTGCTGATTTTCCTCCTATGTTAGATTTCCCTCCTACCGTTTTTTTTGCTGTTTTCGCGCTCTCCAGTGTGAATTTTCGGATTCAGCATAGGGAATAGGCCGGGGTAAGCACAAAGACTCTCTAAGGGCAGTGGCCCAGGAAAATTGTGACTTCGAGCATTCTGCACCTACATGGCCCTCTGGCTGCGCTGAGTCCAGTGCTGTGCTTGGAAAATCAAAAAAGTGCTGTTTACGGAAGAAGCCCGAAAAAGCCCGAAAGGCCAAAAAGCCCGAAAAAGGCCGAAAGAGGCGGAACGCAGGAACGAACTTTTGGTAGGATTCTGACACTATTTTGATGTGCAGACGACAGAAAATGAAGCAAAAAGACTCGGTTGCGAAATCAGCACACTTGCCTTAGCGTCAGAACGGAAGGGGCGTTTCGGCTCTTTCGGGCTTTTTTGGGCTTTTTCAGGCTTTTTCGGGCTTTTCGGGCTTCTTTGGGCTTTTTGGGCTTCTTTGGGCTTTTTTGGGCTTTTGCTAAGTATGACTGGTCTCTACCGTGGAGATAGCTGGATGGGATGGGCGAGGTATTCCCGCCACAAACAGCGACTGGCTGCAGGAGGTAACTCCACCCATTTTGGCGGTAATTGGCTGATCGGCTCACGAGGACAATTGCGATGTTGGCGGAATCCCTCGCCCAATCCCCTCCAGCTATCTTCAGGGTAGGAAAACGCGTAAAAAGCACTTTGTTGTCATTTCAAGCACAGCACTGGACTCGACGCATCCAGAAGGCCATGTAGATTTGGAAGGCTCGCAGTCGCAATTTTTCCGAGCCACTGCCTCTAAATAATTGGCCATGAAGCGCAGAACTTCTTAATGTACCTGTGGGCCATTTTGAATGCTGTATGGTCTTTCTTGTGCTAAATGCTTGTTCCTAGGTCCTAGATGCAGGAAAGCAAACTGGGTAGGGGAACGAAAGCCGCCAATTTGAGCCGTCTTTCGCGGCTAACTGGTCCTTTCGCAACGTTGTTGCATGTCGTTCCAGGACCAGCAGTCCGCGCAGGCGACCGAAGCTGGCGGCTTTCGTTCCCCTACCCAAGCAAATTTGCAGAACATTAGCTGTCTTGTTTGTCGCGAAGGTATTGTCAGTGCTTTGAAGTATCAGTTTCAAGGAGTTCTGTAAGGGATCATATGTCCTATGACGGGAACCTAAGCATTACACTAAAATGTTTTGTGACACATGTTTTAGAAGATCTTATATCCTGGGGTAAACCCTCGCCACTTTTTATCCCCTAATAAGAAGTCATCGGTGTATGTGACAAACTTTGGAGCGCGTTATATAATATCGCGTAGTCTTTGCATACTCCGCACCTTTTGCGTTTGGTGTTCATTTATATAGAAACTCTCTACACAAACTTGTTACCTAAGTCATGCACTTTTTGATAACAGTCACGAGTTTTTGATCAACTTCTAAGTCCCACCAAGGCTTTTACAAAGCGAAAGACAAGATGTCATGTGACGCAACTTTATTTTTTTAATGCGTTGCACCCATTTTGCCCTTCGCATAGCAAATGCACCTGCTTCTGAGAGACGTGTATCGACCGCATTTGCAGCCGTTTTTTATTGTCGCGCCAGTCTATTCTTTGACTTCTTCCATTGCAGCTGCTCAGATAGAAAGTTTTACTAGGCGCTGAAGTGGGAGTAATTGGTTTTCATCGCGATATCCACGAGCGTGAGACTTACTAGTGGTGTGTTCATCCTTTTCGCAGAGATTGTACAGATTGACCTTTTAAGGAACGAAAACAGTCAACTGTGCAGTATTTCTAGTTGTTATTGTATCATCCACTCCACATTGGTAGCGCTGTTATGTTTTCTAACATGATTCATTGGTTATTCAAAAGTATCACGAGGGTGCATTAACAGATTACATTCTCTACTGCGAACCGTGCATACTTTCTAGAATTTCCTTTATTTCACGCTGTCATTTATTCACATCGTTCGCATTTAGCATCGCTGAACATTATTCATGCTGTGGTCGTGTTCGTGCTTTCTCAATGCGCTGCAGATGTGCTTTACCATTCCTTATCGAACAGTAAACAACCCTTTAGAATAACGAGCAATCGCTGTGACTCACGACTTCCACTGAGCACCCTTACTGTGGGATGCACCTTGGTATACACTTATTTCTGTCGAGTCAACTATTTGCGCTTATACAAGTCGGCACAGGTGTAGAGACTACTACCCCATCTCGCTTTCCCAAGGTAAGCATCTTTTTTGTTCCTTTCCAGCTATTTGTGAACTTTCAGACGATCTTTTTCTTGAGCACATTTTAGTGGTAGAATGACAATATACGTTGCTTCTTCCTTACTGTGCTTTTCGTAATCATTATTGAAGTTTACTGCTTGAATGAGGCTACATTACAGTAGTTGAACTGAGTTTGCGTCACTGATTTGCACAGTGTACAGCTGTGTTATGCAATCGTCTTCTTTGCTGTTTTTCTCAGAAACGGACATCCAAATACAGTAATCATTTTTGAGATGGCTGGTAATGACTGCATATTTCTTGAAAATCAGGAAGGATTGGAACTTTTGTGTGTACGGCCCTGGCCAGACTTCGCAAAGTGTTCAAAAGCGCCCAAACTTCTCTGGTGTATCTTCACTTTCTCGTGTGAGGAGAGATGAGAGAGAGTGAGGAGAAGTTAGAGAAGTTTGGGCGCTTTTGAGCGCTTTGCGCGAAGTCTGGCCAGGGCCTAGGAGCGATTTCATTCCCTGTAGAATCTAGTCAGTTGCTTGGAATGAGCTCTCATGGCGGCCTAGATCTTAACATGAATTATGCTTACAGTCAAAGGTCATCTCATCTTAACCGTAATCATCCTTCATTCCAAGCTCCCTCGCCTCTCTGCTGAAATTTTCGCTACAATCTGACACTCACATTTTAGCAAGGTTACTAGGCTGTTGACATCAAAAACACGCATGCAAATAGTTAAACACATAGATTATGATTCGAGAACAAAGCAATTTCGAGAGTATAAGAAAGAAGTCAAAAATTTTTGCAGCCAAATCTAAACGTTTTTCGTTGCTTTTGTTAGTTTTATAAGTTTTCTATTGATAATAATATGTCTCTATCATGGCATACCGATAGGGACTCCCTCCCTCTCCGAGAATGGTCCCCAGGTTTGTAAAGGTTATTTACATGAGTTTAAGAAATGTGCAAGTGACTTGTTTATACTCGTAATTCTATATTTCCGGGGTTATTGGCTGAATTTTGGTAGGCATCCCAATAAAATTTTTGGAATGCGTGGCTGAAGCCACGCACCTTCACCTGATAATTTCTTCCCCTCCCTCCCCCCCCCCCCCCCCCTCCGAACGGAAATCGTGGGTACTTCACTGATCGTTACCTTTTTTAATCGCTTAAGAAAAGTCTGCACCGTCGCTGAATATTTTCAATGCAAATTAATTCCACTTGCCGCGCTCACTGAAGCATGTCATGTGCGCCTGCGAATATCCGCTAGTGATAGGCCGGAAATATCTCGTTTGTTTCTATCGGCTTATTTGCCCTTTCCTTCTTTTACTAGCTGTTCGTTTTCGTACCTTCCTAGTAGATCATACATTCAACAAGAAGTGGACTATAACTAGGAGAAAAATTAGTGAGGTAACAGCAACGGGAAACAACAACTGCTTTTACGCTCCAGACCGGTAATCTCTTCATTGTTTGCTATCATGCCTGTAATGTTTTTACTGTAAACTTTCCGCGATTCTTCCTCTAGTGGCTTTTCTCGACGACTTGCTTTTCAATCATTATGGAGGGGCGAGGTTCTTCAGGACTTAGCAGAATTGGAGAAGAAAATAATTATTCAAAGTATCTCTCGTTATTGAGCCGCATCGTAAGAGTGCATCGCTTCTGCTTTCTATTCTGATCTGCGATTTGATCACGATGATCTTTGGGTGAAGATGGATCACGAAAACACCGCGAGCTGCAATATTCCAAAAAAGGTTTTACAATGGGGTATTCAATAGAAGTGTTAACTCTTTATTATGCGTTATTAACAGGTTGACATCTCCTTTATGTATCACCGTGATATCACGTCCAAATAGAACCAATTACCAGTTCATGTACATACACGAGATTTGTTGGCTTTACCCATAAATACATACTGAATCTAGTTTCCCGCAGGCATTTGTATGTTGATACTATTGATTTTCCAGCCTTTGGACGATTCTCGTTCCATCAATGTCATTACATTGGAAAAGGAAGCGCTCATCTCCGGAACGAGGATTGAAAATGCCGAAGGAGAAGAGAATGCTTTCTTAGGATACACGTAAGAACCTTTCAGATCTCATCGTATCCTACCTTTGTAAATTCTTGCGTGAAAAGAACTTGTTTTTCACCGTCTTTGTATGGAGTCGTCTGTAAGTCTCGTTGTTGACTTTCGTATGAGAATGTTCAATTTAGAAGCCGGGGAGTAAGCATCGTACTCCCCGATCGCTCCGTTCGAGTGGTTCTGTTCGGCTTCTGGCTCGATGAACTACAAACGGTAATAAGTAGTCAAACAGTTTTGAGTAATTTACGCATGCTTTTAGGTCTCTTTCACAACTAGTGACAACTGTTCTGCGACTTCTTTGATTTATGAACAAGTCGACTTCATCATTCAGACAGACAAGAGAGTTGTAGTGGCCACCCAATTCCCCGAGTATGATTAGGATTCCGAAATTGATCCCTTTATGCATGTATCTTCATAAATTCAGTTTTCAGAGCACCCATTGGTGAATATTATCGTTTATGTATCAAGTCAAGATCCAGACATCAGAACCACCCTGCAGAATTCATGCAGGTAGTGCAAATCTTTGATACTATCATTTTTCTAACGAAGTCATTACTCATAAATCTCGAGGTTTTGCACTTCCAAGATTATATTCTGTTGAAAATCTTGCTAGTCAGATATATTTATTGCCCTAGGAAAACCTGAGCTGCGCTAGCATGTATACATCTCTAACATCTCTAAGTATCTATAATGAAGACATTTGCGTTGCAGTGACTCTGACTGGTTCCTTGATCTCCACTCATTGAACTTGTTGCTTGTAGGGGCACTGAATCTAGGATGGATAGCTTTTGAATGATTGTAATCTATATGCCAAAACTTCTCCCATGCTGATCATCTTGCATTTCGGTTGCAATAGTTAGTCAAGATTACTCGTGTAGGATAACTATCACAACCGAAATGCAAGATGATCGGTATGCAATGGACTTGTAAATGTTGTCTGTTGGGAGAATCGCGAGGCGACGAAATCGCGTGAACTCTGTCCGAGGCCTTAATCTGTGCACTAGCTTATGTTGAACCATATGAGTCCACAGTTTACTCTTAATCACTGCAGTTTACTCTTTAAGCATATCAATTTACAGAATTCAGAAGGATAATTTAGTATGTAAGTTGTACACTTAATCAATGGAATGTTTAAGCCTTGCAAACATTAGGTGTTGTTCCCATTTTCACTCATCCACTAACAGCAAGGTAGTGCACGGTATACTGCAGTTTACTCTTAATTTCAGGCGCTTAATTTTTGCTTCTTTCTCTTTTCTTTCGGTAATCAAAGAGATCATGTGGAAAGTAATGTTTTCACGGTTCTAGGTATCGGAATTCCGCACACGCATATCTACAGAGGTTCCACCACGTCAGTACTATTTTGCCTTATGGATCCAGGCAAGTGTTCACAGGAAGTTAGATTTTTTTCACGCTCATATTTCATCTCTAGATCTCTATCATTTCGTGCCTTCTTGTCTTGTCCGGTCTCTTTTCTGGACTTAATCTGGGTTTGATGTCTCTTACTCCTCAGGAGTTGATGTTGATTCAGAAGTCAGGTATGTTCCATAAATATGCGTTCATGTAATATCTTGCTGATCATCTTCTATAAGCCAAATTGTGGTTAAGTCAAATCTTGAAAGTTGGTGCCGTATCTGCTGAGTGTTAGATTGTGAACGTTATAGCCGTGCTATTTCTTGGAGAGTGAAGAGAAAAGAAAATCACAAACTGCTTTTTTATCCTAGTGTGTTTCTGCATCTGCCTTCAGAAGTACTCTTTTAGGGTCCAAAGCGGAACGGAGATATGCGGAAGTCATATTACCTGTTCGAGCTAGGGGCAACCTCCTTCTCTGCTCACTTCTGATTGGTAAGCAACTCTCATAAATAGGGTGCAACTAATGCAGTCAGATATAAGTGTCGTTCAGGTAACGTTTGTGTTAATTCGGGTATTTCTATCCTTTTGGATGACCTCACTTCTGGATATGTCGCTTTAATTGCTTCTTCGGCTGGGATTGTTGTGTTTGGTGAAATTTTCCCGCAAAGTCTATGTGTCAAGTACGTCAATCTTTTTCTTCTTTTTTTATTCTTATATGTATGTGTCAGTGGCGTACCGAGGGGGGGGGGGCGGGGGGGGCGCGCGCCCCCCCCGAGAATGGGTCGCGAAATTTTTGAAAGTTACTTATATGAGTTATAAAAATGTGCAAGTGACTTGTTTATTTTTGTAAATAATTAAAATAATTTTTAAAAATTTTTAAAAAATCAAATTAGCCTTGTAAAAAATTTTTTTTCGGGGGCGTGGCTAACGCCACGCCCCCTTTTTCCAGATTTTAGGGGTCGGGGACCCGCAAAAGTTTTGAGAAGCACCCCAAAAATTTTTTCGGAGTGCGTGGCTAACGCCACGCACCTTCTTCAGGAAAAAATTTTTGTCGCGCCCCCCCCGAGCCGAAATCCTGGGTACGCCACTGGTATGTGTATATATATACTAACAAATGCTGAAAGTGCATATGCTTCTGTCTGTGGAATGGCGCCAAGTAATTTCCCCTTGAAATTTGGATTGTTTTCTTTGATAGGGCACTTGTGAGTCAGTGCTCATTTGTCGTATTCATCAACGAACTTAGCTGCTTTTGGAATGCATTGGATAGACTTATCCCATGAGAACGATTCACGACGCTAGTTAGTTAGCGACTCAGCGCAACCCTTATAAATGTCGATCCTACCCAGTGAGTTCGCGAACTCACGGAACCGAACCGTTTCTAAAATGACTTGGCTTCTCCGTACTAACTTTTATCGAAACTCTGATGGAACAAGCGACAGCTATTCAAGTGCATTTTGAAGGATGCGAGTACGGTATATGTGTCCGACAGCCGCTTCTTTGTGATATAATCATAATGATTCAAATCCATAATGTCCAAACTCATTACTTACTTTTCTATGATATAATCTCCACTATGCCGATATAAAGAAATTACATTCAGACTTCTGGTTTCTTACATGCCATAATCGAAATCGAAGATGCAGGAGGTACTGATACTGTCAGTCACTAAATAAGTTCTTTCAGAAAAGGTCTGGCTGTTGGTGCTTACACCATCTGGGTAACTCGATTTTTCATGATTGCCACTTTTCCGATTGCATTTCCTATCTCTAAGGCAAGTTTTTGTTCTCTGTGCTTTTCCTGTCGAGTGTATTCATACATCAGGCTTTTCCACTTTTAGGTGTTGGATTTTGTTCTTGGAGAAGAAGTAGTCTCCTACGACCGTAAGCGCCTCATGGAACTGATCAAGATGAGTAATGAGGAGGGACTAGTCGAAGAATTGAAAATTGCTGTTGGTGCGATGGAAATAAGTGATAAAACGGTGACAGACGTGATGACAAGAATCAGCGTAGGTTTTATCTACATAATCGTTCAAGTTTTGACAATCTGTTCTTCTATTCTTCCTGTCAATCGCTGAGATCCTTGCATTAGGTGGATCCGTTTTAGCATGCATTGCATGTACACTGCCAAGTGTTTAGTTTGCCTCTATATAGCATTCAGTTTCAAAGAGCACCAATGTATAATAGATCTGAAGAAATATTTATCAGTGGAATTACCGTTTACGCTTGCTTTTTACCTTTTCTTGAATAAAACTAGAATTCTACATGGAACGCGTTTAGGATGTCTTCATGCTTTCCAACACCACTGTGCTCAATACCAAGACTGTAGCTGAAATTCTTCGTATGGGTTATACACGAATACCAGTATATGATGGTGAATATAATAGTGCTTCATGACATCACCACACTCACCGGCTACGCAAATTATTCCCACATTTTGTGTCTTTTCAGGCGATCGCAACAATGTCGTTTCTTTGTTGTTTGTGAAAGACCTCGCACTATTAGATCCGGATGATAACTTTACCATACAAACAGTGTGCGGTTATCATCAACATCCCTTGCGATTTGTTGATGAGCACACCCCTCTTCGTGTTATGTTAGAGGAGTTCAAAAAGGTTTGTAATATCTAAGTTTTTAGCTGTTTTTACATTCACCGTCACATGCTCAGGGAGATTACCACTTGGCCATGGTGCATCGCTTCGTTTCCTCAGACGATGCGGATCCAAAATTCGAAAATGTTGGGGTTGTTACGCTGGAAGATATTGTTGAGGAAATTCTACAAGTACGTTTTTTTTTGATAGGTACAGATTCAGTGTATACCACGATGCAGTGGAGCTACATACAGGGATTCTCAGAAGTAAGTACATACTTTTTGATTGAATTTCTTCCCATAAAGTCTTTTGCATTGCATTATGTACCATTTGATAGAGGAGGCCTCAACTTGGATCTGTGATATGGAACAAATCATCCACCTCTTTTCATTACTGTAGGATTATGGTAGGAGCTTCCAGCGTATAGCACCATTGTGAAAACACTAAAAAAAGGTCATTGCCGTTTTCCTGGCACAAGTTTCGATAAAAGTCTTACGATGAAATGCGTATTTCATATTCGCAACCAGGGACTAATTTAGCCTTATAATAATGTTTTCAGCTTTTTGAGTATCTGTTTTATGGCAAAATGTAGCAAATGATGGCTCAAAACCCTCTTCATAGTCCTACCCGTAATCCTCCAGTAACGAGGAGCGACGGGTGATTCGCTCCATACTGTAAATCTCATTTGAAGTCTGCTCTACTGAATGGTACTTGAAGCTAAGCAAAAGACTTTGTGGGAAGAAAGTTATCGACTGTTGAAATGTGTGTACTTATTTTTGTGACACTCTGTATGTCAGTAAAGTGAGGTGAATGGGCTCTATTTCACTGAATTCAATTTGGGCATAAAGGATCATTAAAAGTTTTTATTTGCATTTGTTTTCGAAGCGTTTTTTTTTTATGGTAATGAAAACTTGTAATTGCAATCTGAATAGTGTGATGTAGGTGGCGATAGTGTATGATCATTACTAGCCTATCGTCAGCGAACGAGAGGGCTGCGCTGCTCTCTGAGCCGCTGAAAACACTGTAATTTGCTGGAATACCAGAAATATATATGATCGTTTAGGCGGAAATTGTAGACGAAACCGACGCAGTGATGGATAATGTAAATAGAACAAGGAGAAGGGGTGCACAGGTATGTTTGTGTTTATCTGGTGTCAGCTGCAATTCACAACCATCCTTCTTTGCACTCAACCTTTGACAATCGCAGTCTTTGTAGGCTCGAGACGTGTCGTGCTTTTTGGATACTGACGAACCATCTCGTGTGATAAGTGTCCAAATGCAGCTGGTAGCTATGCAGTGGCTGACCACCAATCACAGAGCATTCAACTCGGATCATATCAGTCAGTCTGTGTTGGAAAAAATCATTCGCCAAAACTGCCACCGTGTGAGCTTTTCTTTGTCCCTCAGAGCGTTTTCATGAACAGATCTTTGATCAGTCATCACTTTTTGTACAACTTTTATTTTATTTTATTTTATTTTACACTCACGGTGCACCAAAGAACAACAAAAAAATAAAACTCTAACACGTCGAACAATAACATGATAACAGCTTGTCCATGGCTTCAGGGAGATAAACGATGGACGTATAAGCAACCACTAACCTAAGGCCCTTTAAGATATAGCGAAATCTGTTTCAAATGCCTGATGAGTGTAAATATGGCCTGAGAAACAAAGAATGACTGGAGAGTATTGCATCCTCCAAAATTATTCTGAAAACCCCTTTTTGAGTGCCAGCGAGCTTACGGGCGGAAACTAGCTGACAGACCCCAGATGAGTATACCTTTTGGAGGATAGCAAGACTCTAAGTTGAAGTGCCAGCTAAAGCTTGCCAGTAAGGCATAGAAGTAAGGCATAAGCGAAAGTAACCTGGGCGCTTAGGTGTGACTGTAATAGGAAGACAAGAGGTAAGAGGTAGACAAGAGGTAGACAAGAGGTAGAATCATGTACCCTGACATACAAAGCAAGCTAATATGATCGTTAGTGAAGCAGGGTGTCTAAGTTAGTGGCAGTGAACAAACGAAAATAAATAGCTGGGAAGAAATGACTCAATGTTTTTTGACTATGAAAGAATGAAGTGAAATGCATTTGCTACGTAGACTGGGTTGAAGATTTGACGAGGTATGGAGGGCTTGCGAGGTGTGGGCGACTTGACGACTTGACGACTTGACGAGTTGACGAGGTATATATGACTTGGCCAAGAATGAGCGACTTGAGCGACTTGACGAGGTACCACGACTTGGGGAGGAGTAAGAGACCTGACGAGGTATGGCGACTCGACAAAGTGGGCGACGTGACCAGGTATGGAAGACTTGACTAGGTAACGGCTTGGCGAGGCATGGAGGGTGGTTAACAATGGTGGATAGCGCACGTACTCATAACATCTAAAAATCACAGATATCGAGTAGCTGTAACACATTAATATTTTGTAATCTTCTTTTGAATATTTTGGAGTTTTCACTGGAAACGATGTAATCCGGTAGGACCGAAAACCATCGGGTTGTTCGACAAATGAAAGAGTTGAAAGTCATCAAAAATCGTTTTTTTCCCAATTTGCGATAGTAAAGACCAAACCTACCTGATCGTTCGCTACACGGTCTGAATATCCAAAACTTGCTGGCTTTGAGTCTTGTTTCTAAGCGCAGAATTCGAAAACACAAAGTCAGATCATTCAGAACGCGTCTATACAGTAGGCTCTGCAGGTTCAGTTTATTTAACCGTAACCGATAGGAGGGTAGAGCTTGTGGGTAATTAGGATTGGGAAAACATCTATAGAATAATATTCTGGTGAACGTTTTTTGGATTTTTTCGACTCTTTCGATGTTTCCTTTTGTGAATGGACTCCAAATAGGCGAGGCATATTCTAGATGCGGCAAGACATAGCTTTTGTAGAGCCTCAAAAAAACCTCAGGATCATTGCTATGTATGCCACGAATAATAGTAAAAAGAGTTGCTGAAGACTTTTTGATAACAAGATCGATATGAGATTTGAATGAAAGAGAGGCGTCAATCATGACACCAAGATCACGCATTGGGTTTGCGAATTCAAGACCGACACCGTCGCAGGAGTAGGTTCGGCAGGGTGAATCCCCAAGGTGCATAACGGTAGTCTTTGAAGCATTTAGAGGGATGTCCCATTCCTTGGACCAAATTTCCATTTTGCTGATGGAGGAGGAAAGTGCCATGAAGGCTTCACTTTGATGATCGGAATCATAACAAGAATAAATTTTTATGTCGTCAGCAAACATTTGTATTTTGACACTTGGATGGGTTTTCAGGTATGCAGGTAATTCAGCAACGTAGGTCAAGAAAAGTAACGGTGATAGAATTCCACCCTGAGGAACGCCACTACCACAACGGTATCGCTCAGAATACTTGCACCCAACGCGCACAGTCATGCCCCTATCCTCCAAGTAAGAAGCTAGCCACTGTAGGAGAGTACCTCTTATGCCATAGTTTGCCAATTTTAAGAGAAGCTTGTTGTGATTTACTTTATCAAAAGCCTTTGAAAAATCAAAATAGATGATATCTACAGATTGACCATTGTTGAGAGCAGTGGTCCAGTCAAATATAGAGTCAACAAGCAAAGTAGTTGTCGATGAGCCCGGAAGAAATCCGTGTTGCTCACGAGGAATAACATTATGCTCATCGAACCATTCGAACAGCTTTCTTCTGATTATCTTTTCGAGGATCTTACCAGCAGGAGGCATTATACTAATGGGTCGAAAATTCGCCAAGGTACCATTACATCCTTTTTTAGGAATAGCCGTAACTAAGGCTTCCTTCCAAATAGTAGGTACTACACCCGCTGAGAGAGAGACATTGAAAATGTACGAAAGAGGAATGCACAAGGTGTGGGCACAGTTTCTATAAACGATTTGAGGAATACCATCAAAAGTAGTAGTCGCAACTGACTTCAAGCTTTTGAGTATTCCAAAGACAATGTCAGGGTTGACTGACACTTCTCCACACGATTCAGACTGGTTGAACGTAGAAGATGACCCTGGATCGATTCCTTGAGCATTTATGAATACCTTGGCGAAGAATTTACCCAGAGCTTCTGCCTTCTCCTGGTCCTCTCTATACTGATTTTCGGCTTCATCAATCAAGACTGGCAGACTAGTCTCTCTTTTGGGAGTACGACATTTGAAATAACGAAGCAATGCTGTGTTAGAACGTCTAGCCAAAAGAATTTCTCGATGGCGCAAAAATTTTTTGAGATGATAATTTAGATCGAGGCAAACTTTCTTATATAATTCATCACACATGGGCTTAGGTAATGAGGCAAATAGCCGAGATTTTTGTTCAATTAAATTGCGAATGTGAGTGGGATAGACTTGAAAAGGAGCTTTCTTTGAGGTAAAAGGTACACATTTGGCGAAGATACTATATAAAACGGAGCAAAAACGGTAATATAAGTCGTCAACTGATGCAAAACCATGAAAAATATCAATCCAGTCTACACATAGAAGTGCTCTATTCATTTCTAGATAATTTGCTTTGTAGAAATTAGGAAATGGCAAGACGAGACTTTTGGATATAGAAAAATGCGTATGAAAAGCTACGACATTATGATCAGAAGACCCAAAAGGTGGCATAATGCGAATGTTATTTACAATATCACTCGTGGAAAAAACAAGATCAATCGCTGCATTATCATGAGTCGGAACATTCACATTCTGTACCAGCTGACAGCTAAGCAAGAGATTAAGGAAATGCTTATCTTGTGGGTTTCTACCGGGAGAAATTGCATCAATATTGAAGTCCCCCAAAATGATCGTTTCGTTTGGAACTGAACAGAGATCAATAATCGTATTTGAGAGAGATTCATCATCTTTCATTGTTACAGAGGGAGGTCGATAAACCGTTATGAATCTTAAAGGTGAAAGAGAGGCAGTTGAAAAGAGGTCTATGCACAGTATGTCCGAGTTTAGATGTTGATCAATATAAAGGCGTTGTGCTGCAAGATCATTTTTGACTATACAGCAGACCCCACCGCCTTTTTTCCCCTTTCGGTCAGATCGATGGATAGAGTATGGCAGATCAATCACAATTTCGGAGTCAGAAATTCTAGAGGATAACCAAGTTTCCGTGACGCAAACGATATCGGGACGGTAGAAACATAAAAAGGCATGAAGAATGTATAACTTATTTACAAGGCTTCGAGAGTTGAACAAAAAACATGATATGAAGTCACTAGAACCACGCTGAGTTAGGCGTTTCCCTGAACAGGCCTTTTGGGCAGTTCAGAGATATGCTTAATTTCCCCGCGGTATACAACCCACTCTCGTATTGCCTTTCCTCTATTTCTCTCGCTAGCTTCCCTCCGTAGCTCTAAGTCCCGCTCCCTCTCTGCTTGAGTCATACTTCTGCGTAGAAAAACATGAGAAAGAGACGAGTGCCGCAATAAGTAAGCATTTGATAGAGCTTGTCTCCAGTAGTAGCGCGAGGGGAATACTATTTTGACCAAGCGTGGCTTCCCCTCAACCCTTTTGCCCATTCGGAATATCTCCGAGGGCCAAGCATCTATATGCAACGTTTCCAATATTTGCGCTACGCTCTCATCTAAATGCTTCTTACGCTCAAGCACTGTCAGCTCAGATGGAGCTTCGGCAAGACCCGCAATTACGACGCTCCTCTCGCGTTTCTCTGTTTCTGCGTCCTTGGGTAATTTCTTTTGCAAAGCCAAGACAAGTCTCTCTATGGTAGGATCAGTATTTTTATCCAGAATAGTCTGGATAATCTCATCCATAGAGAGATTGTCATAGTCAATATACGGGTCTGAGCCCGCTTCTGTCTGACTATTTGGCGCTGTCACATTCACATTCCTTTTCCTAAGGACGCGATCAGAAGTCGATTGGGAGCAAGGCTTATTTGCGCGGGAAGGCATTATTGATTTTTTCCAATCGATAACCTTGATAAGATAAGCAAAAAAATGGATATGACACTAATTTGTCGAAAGAATTTAAAAGTCTAAGTTGAAAGAGGTAGCCGAAGTAGGAAGTGACAGCTAGAGAACTGAAGAGAGCAACCAGAAAATAGGAGAACACAGAAAGGGAAAAAAGAAAACAATATCGAAGTAGGAAGAGCAAGTATCAAAAACAATTGTTTTTGGCGACGGCACAGGGGTTCACCGATATTGATTTTTTCAATCGATGACCTGGATAAGATGAGCGAAATTTGGATATGCCACTAGACTGGCTAAGAATCCAAAAGTTTAAGACGAAAGAGATAGACACAATAGGAAGTGACAACTAAAGTAATGAAGAGAACACCTAGAAATTAGGAAGACACGAAAGGAGATGAAAGAAATACAAAATCGAGATACTAGGCAGAGCGACTATCAAAAACAACCGTTCTCGGCGACGGCACAGGGGTAACTTGATGCTGATCTGATCTAAGCAATTCCAAAAGACGTTCCTGATATGGAAATGGTTGATATCTTATCTCATACATGTCATCGCCATTGAAGGAATCAAAATTATATTGTTGTAAAGCTCATTTGGCCACTTATTTTCTTAATTATAAATTTAGGTTGAGCTGTCACATCTTCCGGACATGTATGAGCCGACGGCTGTGGTTCCTCGCACGGCGAAGTTATACACCAAGCAAGAGTACTCAGAAAAATTCATTTTGATTTTGGAAGGACGCGCTCTTGTCACAATCGGTCAGGTCAGCATTTTGTTTGCTGATACTCTCCCTTTCCATTCAAATCGTTGAAACCAAACTTTGAGCCAAACGCAGGGCAGCAAAAGTCGTTATATATGGGTAGAAAAGTCATCATTTCAGGATGAAATGACTTTTGAAGCTGGACCTTGGCATGCGTTTGGTACTGAGATGCTGGAGCGTCTCGTGTCGCGAAGCGAATACGAATTGCGCGGTCTGGGCGAAAATGAACATTCTGGGTTATCTGCCGACAACAAACAGGTACGGATTTAACGTGCATCTTCATTGGTTATCTCCTGCTACCTACACAAGCTAGAATACCGTAGGTGTTCTATCCATAATCGCATTCATTTGGTATGTAGTAAATTCTCTATTTTCAATATTGCAGAAGCTTGGATTCGTACCTGATTATTCTGTGGTTGTTCGTGATGATTGTACATTCCTTGAAGTAACGTCTCAAAGTTGGCTCCTTGCATATCGAAGCACTTTGATGAGTCGAGAAGGACCTAGGTAGCAATTTTTATCACCTCTCCATTGTAGTTCAAAATTTATACCTTTTTGATTTGCGGAGTATTTACTTTTCTATGTTGAAACTCGTCTTTATTTTGAAATGTTCTTCAATCCAGGCCATCTTTTGTTGAATCGAATGATGTCGCAAGTACCAGGACAATAGACGACGATTCTTCGTGGACAGCCGTTCAAGATCAGCCTAAAGGAAAATCTATGGTTTCTCCTCAGGTAAAGAGCAGTCTGATTAGTTTGTTTCAATTGAAGTGTTCCAATTATCTCAGTACTTACCATTCTCCTTCCTAAACTTGTCCTCCAAGTGTGTTTAGACAAAAAGATGTGTAATGTCAATGATCATCATTGACATTACATATCTTTTTACACATCTAAAATCTAAATAAAAATCATCATATTGTCATCAAGTTATCAAAAGAATCTGCTCTAACTTATTTTGTTGCTATCTCTCGCAACGAGGCCATTTTGTCTTTTATCGAGACTGCCTTCTGAGTAGCATCGACTCCAGCTAGGTGTCTTCCAAGCTTAGATGTATTTAATGTTTTCAATTTTGCAGTCATATTTCTCGATACCTTTGTGAATGTGTTAGCTTTTTCAATTTCAGGTTGAGGCGGTCCGTCGCAATGGAAAAGTCCGTTCTGCAAGCGAATCAGAACATGTAGAACTGCTACCACGAGTCCTTACACCGGCTAGTTCACCACCTTCAAACCGTTCACTCTTGAGCTGAGGTGTAGTGCATCTTTGCCATGTCATCTCGCATATCTTCTGCTAAAAGCTTTGCTATTCCTATCTTCGTTTATGTTACATTAATTTATCACTGTTTGATCCCAAATGCAATCACGTTCATCAGTGAATGAGCACCGATTTTATAGTTGCCCAGCGAGAAGTTTATACAATTCTTGGTCGGCGTCAATCAGTAGGCTCATCAGGCGCGGGACTATATGTATGAACTTGTATGTACTATTAAGTGATCCTTCTAGATCTGCATAATCGGTGATCCCCTTGTTTTGTGGCGAACGTCATTGATCAAGCATTTGGCAAGCCAAGGAGCAATAGGATCTATTCGAAAGTGCTTGTATAAGATTTCAAAAAAAAGTCAGCCAGAGATATTGTCTCCTATGGAGATTTCGCAATAGAACAGGATGTACATGTACATGCTGTGGTTTATGCTCGATCGATGTATCTGCTGCTGGTGGTAGGAGAACCTAAACATGGAACAGATGGTGGGACGTATAGACTGTGCTTGAACCTTTCCTTAATCTCTCGACGTTTCTCACTTTCTTTTGAACAAAGTGCTGACGCTCCGAATACAAACACTATGTCCGATAACTTATTTGGCAGTTATGAAGTCGAGGTTGTTTATTTACTGACTGTGGAAACGTGCTTTCATTTATTACTTTTTAGCTTATATGTAATTTGATATAACCGCGTGTATGTACGTGCCACCAATCATTGTTGTGTACTTAGAATGTCTAGGTGATATAAAAATATCGAAGAGCCGAGATTTTCTGCAATTTGGCCTAGCATAGGTTAATCAGTAAGTAGGAACAGAAATTACTAATTCTTTTGTTATTTCTCGGTGCGAATGTGCAGATTATACTATAGGCGTTTGCTGTACTCTTGAAACAGCCAAGCCAAGCCATATCTGATACTAGTACGTTTTCCATCTCAAATTTCATGTCAAGATAGCACGAAGTTTTTATTTGTCCATTTCCATTTCATCTCATTCCTCCTTTTAATGTTGCAATTTATGCAAAATATTGTTTTGTTAGTATCTTGCGTTTTATTTTTACCTGATCAGCATAGCTATTCATTTTCTGTGTACATCATGGTTGTTATCGACGAGCTCTTCCCTGACTAACATTCACCATGTTTGGAGCCTTTGCATGCGTGTATCACCTAACTTATTTGATTTGCGATCTTAAGACTCATTATCGTGTTATTGTTCAATAGTATTGATACTAGAATTGCTTCAGACGAAGATTTGCATCGAAAATTGTTTATATCGCAGGAAACAAAGTTCGATTGTTGCAAAGAGATGGTTGAACCTCATTGTTATATTTTGGGTAACGATAACAGGCAGGAATATATTAGATTTCGGCAACTAGATGGACTTATAATATGCCGATAGAACCACATTTACCAAAAATCTATATAGTGGGGTTTTGAATGAGCTTAGTGTTCCCCCACGAGCAGGAGTAGCGCGCCCTCTTATAATATTCGTTGCGAAATTCTCTCATTGCTTTGGAAAACATGCTATAAAAGAAGAGAAAACATCCAGCTTTATTACATGTCTCTTGAGAAAATCTATTTATGTGCAATTCGTACAAAAATCTTCAGAAGAAAAGGATGTAGACTGAATTAGCAGAAACTTTCAATTATGCCTTGCATTTACTAAAACACCCTGTGGCTGGTTTTGTCCTCGGCGAGAGGATCACTCCTGCAGAACGCACGTCGACATCTTCCATTGCCATCATTTCTCTAGAAAGGTAGTAGTAAATACATTGTGATAATCGTGTAGACCACAGCCGTTACGCCTTCAGCGCCGCTAGGGGGAGGAGGACATTAGGTCGCCCTTAGGCTCCACCCACCCGGATAAGTAGCATCAGGCAGTATGATGAAGGGCGCGGTTGAAGTTGTCCACCTGGACCTTCCCTTTAGGTGACCCAATGTTCTCGATTCCGCCGCTGGTTTTCGTCAGACCAGGGGTGGAGGAACGAACGCCTCAACTAGGCATCGTCTCTGCGGGCTGCTGGTCCTTTCGTCCTACTGTTGTGCATCGTGTTGGACCAGTGGTCCGCGGAGGCGGTGCCTAACTGAGGTGTTCGTTCCTCCACCCGTCAGACCAGCTGTTCCAGGCTTTTTGACGATTGAACCCGCGCGGCCACAGGCTGCCACCAAACTGTCACAAAATTGGAATCTCCCAAGAATTTTTGCAATTCGTGAGCACGCGAAAATTGCAAGAAATGCAGTCAGGCGTTTGAAATAAAAGCTTCTCATAACTATCATAGCGTGTTTACAGTTTGAGTCAATCGCGTACTGGCTTTTCCATTGGAGTAATCGCTAATTCGGGAAATCGCGCAACGTTCGAGCATATGGCTTGGACAAAATCCTTATCGGTAGGTCAGGCCCTCGCTCTGTGGATTCGTGTTTTCTAGCCAAGAAAGGTCATTGCGAGACGAAGGCGCTAGGGGCGTGAACACAATTTTCCGTAAAGCGCATGAGGCACAGATTTACAGTCTGTCTCAATCCCAATCAGGCCAAAATGGGAATGGCAAGAATCTGCGTCGCGAGAGTTTTGCATCATGTGTACGGCTTGCTTGTCTGCTCTCTTTTCATTCTTCGCTCTCTCTAATGCACATGCAACGCAAATCTTGAGCTGCGAGCGCTCAAATTCACCCCAGCGATTCAGCATGATCCGGATTGGGGCAGACTGTACAACGTTGAAGATGCACGGCCCGTGTTTGCACCCTCTCGACCGATACTACTTTTGCACCTTCCTTCGGCAGTAGCCTCTATGTATAGGTACCATCTGTTTAACTGGAAGTGACGGAGAGGGGGGGGGGCTGGGCTCTGCATCTCTCGCGCGCGGGTGCTCTCTAATTTCTTGAGCTGAATTAGCGATCGAAGCTCCGCCTTCCACCCAGCACTGCTTATCGAGGTGCCCTATCTGGCCCCCCCCCCCCAACAAAGGCAGGCACCGTAATCAGGCTGTCCGCAGGCTCTTCGTGCCGGGACCCAAGCGCGCTTTTCTCACTGTCCTTTAAACTTTCACTTCCCCTCTCTGCGATTCAAATGCGGTGGTCATTTACGATCTGGTAATATCTGCTGCATGACGAAGGCGGTTGCCCAAATAGGTTGAAGGCTGTTGCGCACGCGGCGCACGGGCAATTGTCAGCCACGGGGCGCGCGCACGCTCCAGTGGATGACCGCTGACCGAGCGTGCGCGCGCCCGGTGGTTGACAATTGCCCGCGCGCCGCGTGCGCGACAGCCTTCAACCTATTTGGGCAACCGCCTTCGTCATGCAGCAGATATTATCATACAGCTGCATTTTTCTAGTCCTGAAGGGTAATTAGTAACCCACTAGTGCCGACTCAACAGCTTTTTCGCTAGTCCGAAGACTGTTTTTGTGACTTCAAGCATACAGCCTAGTAGCGTGACAAGTCGGTTCGAGCAAATCGTGATTGTTTGTTTGAAATAGCTTTCAGAGGAGAACAGAGAATGAAATCAGTCGCTGCTCAAAGTCTAGCTTGAGCATGCGCCTTCGTGGCACAGTTACGATCAAATTTTTTCATTCTCACTGTGCCGTTGTGGAGGGGAGAGTTTTGGCCAAATGCAGCACTGCAAAGGATATCCCTTAGAATTGAGCGCATACTACAAAGAGAAAACCAGACGAACCAATCAGAGTCTACACATTATATAGCCACTACTAGAAACAAGATAACCATCACGCAGCCGCCCTCGATTGGAGTTAGCCTATTGAGAAATATCAGGTTGGCATTTCAGTAATGCAACTTTTGCTCATAACTTTTTGTCCTCCAGAAATTGTAGGAAGTACAAACTGACAAGCTGCTTTCTTTGTTATTTTGCGGTAGTCTTCCCTATGTTATGAAATCGAGAATTCGATCTCCCAGCTTCCCGAAACTTGCTACTGTAGTAGTCATTACTTAACTGTCATTTTCTGCTTGTGGTGTTAAGCGGAACACATAAAGATTTTGTAAATGCGTTGGACCTCAACTTGCAAGAAATGGCAATTGAGATAGTAGAGTTCACATCTGGGAAGTCAATGGAATAAAGATAAGGGCTGCGGAATGGAAAGTTTAGGGAGAAGAGCTGACAGGGGAAGCGTGTTTGAAGTGGCGGTCTTGAATGAGACCCATACCACTTTGAAGAGTACTGGCTCACGCTGGCTCCAGATGTGCCTTCATTATCTGCCCAGCGCTTCTAGACGCCGAGTTAGGCTGGGTTCATACTGGTCTGCAAGTTTCGGAACAGCTCCAGCACAGCGCTCGAATTGTATGCTGTGTTGGAACTGTTCCGGAACTTACGGATCAGTATGAGCCTTATGACCGTTTTCTGGAACGAAAAATGTTAGCAAGATTCAAAACGTATCCATTAAAAGCTGCTCTGAAACTCGACATTGGACGAGCAATGGGAGATTTTGTGCCAGTTCGCGTTCAATTTCTTGACCTGAAAACGCCCATAACTCGGCTTCCATAGGCGCTTGGCAGATAATGAAGGCAGATTTTGAATAGTGTTTAATGCTCTTCAAAGCAGTATAGGTCTTATTTGAAACGGCCACTTCGACTAAACAGATTCCCTTGTAAGCACTTTGGTTCGAAATGCCTTTGAGAGAATGGAGGTGGCAATTTGGTCCAGACCTTGACAAAGAGAATTTTTTCGCTACAGGGAAATGAACAACGGAAGAAATCTGTGTGTGCATTCGCTCCTGAAGCGATCAGAAGTCGCAGTTTGCCAAGTTATCCTCGAAGAGTTGCCGAGGCGATCGATGTAAGATTGCTTCTCCCTTTCATTCGCTTAGTCCAAAACTATGAAGATCCGCGACTTGTGCATCTAGAGATGAGCGCGAACTGCGCGGCAAAGCGATCGCCATGCTTTTGAGTTTCAATTTATTGAATTTCGTTTTTTACGAGTGGAAAATTTCTATTCAAACATCACTAGGTGACACTTTGCTAGCACTTATGGCATCAAAAAGGTGTTGTTCGAGGTTTTGGTGACTTCGTACCGAATTTCTCACATATGCTAGCACCGCTAGTATAGCAAAAACTAGGAAATTGCGCGCAACTGAATCTCAGAGATGGAAAGTGAAAGTTTAAAGGACAGTGAGAAAAGCGCGCTCGGGTCCAGGCACGAAGAGCCTGATTACGGTGCCTGCCTTTGTTGGGGGGGCCAGATAGGGCACCTCCTGCTTATCCAGTACAAACCGCAACTGTACAACTCGTGGCTCTCGCAGTGTTAGCCACGCTTGGCCGTTGCAGACATGGCCGATCGCAGTCGATGAACAGAGGTTAATTGACACAGACTGTATGGGTTCAAAGACAACTTCATCCTGCAACAAGGCAGCAAAGTTGGATTGACGCGGATCTCTCTACTACAGTACTATAGAACCACGAGATGAAGCTGAAGCCAGAAATTGTTTCAATCTAAAGTCACTAATCACCTTGTGAGGGCTAAGACAGAGCTGTCCACATTGCTTCCATCTAGCGCACTTGTCTCCATGAACAGGATACCCATCTTCTGTAATTGTAAGTTTCTAGTTCGTATTTTTTGATCACAACTTACAAGATGTGCGGCTAGACGCCTTAGTTGTGCACTTGCACGCGTAAGCGACCACAGGATAATCACAAAATCGTGACGATAGCGGCGATCGCGTGCGTTGCGTGCAAAGTCACACAAGGGAAGTATTAGTTGAAGTGGCTTTTTCAAATGGCACCTAAATCACTAGGCACGCCTTTGAACGCTGATTCCAAATCTGTTTTCCTTTCTGCGGAACAACTTTCCGGAAGAAGTTATGAGCAGGGTCAAGCGTGGGGTGCGGCGCGCCACACTTGGGGGTCGTATTGAGGAGTCAAAATGCGAGGGGGTCGTAGTTGGGTAATCTGATAATAGTGGTAACATGATATCTGTATCATATCCATAATTAGTATGCCAATTAACCCCTGTAGACAAAGTGTGAGCGAATTCTGAAGATTCAAGATACTAGGCTACCTAAATGAAATGGTTAAATTCCAACATGGTTAACTTTGTTTCAAAGGTGAATTAGTTATCCGTTTTTGCACTCAAGACAATACTACTCCTTCTTTGTCCACCTCAGGAATCCCGCTTCAGAAGACTGCAAACTGTGGAATTAGAAGCCAACCAAAATCTCGTTTTTCCCATTTTTCGCTTTTGATCGCTGTGCTTTCACCAAATATTACTCAGAGCTAAAAAGACGAATCAGGCTCCAAACAGTCTTATGGAATCTACAAGGTTTAGGCCATCGATTCATATAAATACTGTCCGCTAGAAATGTTTTTTTGATATAGTTAATGGGGTGCGGCACACCCTCTAAAAAGCTGCAGCTGCCGCAGCTTTTAAGGGGGTGTGCCGCACCCCCCTAACTTGCCTTCAAAATCCAGAAAGCGCTCCATTGCTGGTATGAGTATTGAGCACATAGCTTCTTCTTGCTACACTGGAAATTTGGAGTCGAACGCCCCACTCATAAGAAAATTATGGCCCTTTCAATATGCATATTCAGATCAAAATCAGCCGTCAAATTACGTGTGATTGTAAAGTGCAGTCACAGAAAATCGGGCGTACAGCTCTCAGAAATCTGAAAACTCTCTAGAAAAAGCTGGTGTCCTCCAGGATGTCACACTTTGAGGTCCAGAGGTTAAGAGGAGGAAGGAGGGGTCGTTTGAGGGCTTTCATGGGAGGGGGGGGTTGTTTTCGAAAGACTTGTGCCTGACCTCTTTCTCAACTCTGGTAATGCTATCTTAGATATATAGTTCAGGGGGGGGGGGGTCTTATTAAGACAGCAATCAGGGGGAGGGGTCGTAACCAGCGATCGTGTGCCACACCCCTTGCTTGACCCTGGTTATGAGTGTTTGAAAGTCCAAATTTGTCTGTTATGCTATAAGTGGCATAAAAACAGCGATAAGCTGTACAAAAACAGCTGAGAGTGGGTGATCGAATTTTTACCAAGCACAATGACTACAAGGAAGGTACACAGCCTGTGATTCGCAGAGATGTTTTTGCACAGCTTTTCCCTGATACACTTGAGGCTTGTCAAATTTGAGATCAAACACTATAACTTCTTCCAGAGAATTGTTCCGCAGATAAGGAAGACAGATTTGGAATCACCGAACGCTCTAAAAAGTGATTTGTCAAGTGAAACGGTTACCTCGACTGAAGAGGTTTTCTTGTCAGCATGGCAACCACGTTTCCTTGGCTGTGGCCACTACTCGAAGCGTTCTTTACATCTTGTCACGATTTTATGAAGACCCTATACCGCATGCGGTATACAAACTCACAGCGGCGAGGGCAGCGCCATCTTCCCTCGAAACTCCACCGGCATTCTCTTGTCGAAGATCGCACTTGTTACCAACCAATATGACTGGGATTTGTCTTTCAACTGAGTCCTAAGTAATATTCAGTACCATCTTTGTTCAGGAAGAAAAGACGCTTGTGCTGCCTACCTTTATTGTGTCAACCCAGTCTCGAATTCTAATGAAGGAGTGCTCTGATGAGACATCGTAAACCAAAACAGCACCATCTGCACGCCGGAAGTACGATTTACATAATGAGCGAAACCTTGCAAGAGAAGTTCACATTATCAAAAACAATAACAGGAGAAGAGGAAAGGGGGAGGGAGTGAATCTTAATCTTATGGACCGGATTCAATCGGGCAGGGGGGACTATATGTCGCCGATAAGCTTCACTCCGCGCAGACAGCTGGTGCAAACCTATAACGTCTGTAATGTGTGGAGCTGCGTGGTCTGTCGCAGATGTCCGAAACCAACCCTTTCGGTGGCATATAGTGCCCTACCCGATCCATTCTGGATTATAGTGCACGAAATGTGAATCTAACCGCGGCCGCGTGACGTGCCCTGGGAGAAAGCGGTCACAAACAATTGCTGTTTCTGCCCAAGGACCGCGGGTGAAGAGAGTCTAATAAATTTCACGGTTAAAATGAGGTGTCTGCGATGGCGACAGCACTCACGCGGAAAAATGGCTACAGCGATGATGCCGACAACCCCTGCGCATAAAATATGGCCACTGGGCGCACTTTTTGAGTTTCTAGTTGTCCTCCCTCCACTAGACACCTAGTGGACGAATTCGGATTTGAACCAGAGCACGCCGATTGCGGCAGAGTGCGGCACCATTAAATCCAGTTCAAGCTCATCCGTCGTTGCATGGTGATTTTTACGTTTTAGGCCCGTATGCACGTACAACCCCGCGGGGAGGGGAGGGGATCTGAGAGGGATAGCGCCATATCTCACTGCTCTAGATATCTTTCTTCTTTCTTTTCTATCGTGCTTATAAGGATTCTCATACCCTTATACCTGCGCATAATAGATGCCAGGTTACCGCTATACAAGATTAAATATTCAGTATTTCTTCCGATCCCCTGAGGATCCCCAGGGGATCATCTCACATTTTCAAAGTCGTTTATCTTCCTGAAAAATGAATGAAAACGCTGCAAAATTGTACTGAAGATATACTACGATACTGCTGAGCATGTTTTCGACAGAAGAAATGGAATCTGAAGATTTTGATTTTTTCGATAATCCCTGGCTCGCGAGCAGCGGTTCATCGAAAATTTTGATATCTTGAAATTTCACTCATTTCTACCATAAATATGTTTAGCAGTGCTGTAGTATATCCACAGTACAATTTTAGAACATTTTCATCGAGTTTTCAGAAAGATAAATAACTTTGAAAATGTGAGGTGATCCCCTGGGGATCAGACGAAATAGTGAATATCTAATCTTGTATGGCAGTAACCTGGCATCCGTTATGCGCAAGTATCAGTGTATGAGAACCTTCAAAACCAAGACAGAGGAAGAAGAAGAAGGATACATAGACTAGCGAGATATGACGCTTCCCCTCTCAGATCCCCTCCCCTCCCCAGCGGGGATGTACGTGCATACGGGCCTTAATGGTGCTTGTGATCAAAATCGACGACTTGTTGTTGCTTAGCGATGTTTCGTGCTATGCTCGTTTCTTCGGTTCTGACTTTACGTAAACCTGAAATCGACTAGAAACAAGCATAGTAGCACGAAACATCACTCAAGAGTCACATCTACCACCCAATTAAGAAGACTGTTAACATCAAAAAATAAAATGTCCCGAAAACACAAGAAATCTGTTTGAGATTAAAGGCAGTGGCTCGGAGAAACCAAACATCCCGAAATTTAGATACGGAGGGTTGCTTGCATCCCAAACATCATAACAGAGCAGGTCCGAGCGCTCTATATGCTGCGCCTGCCCAGAAACTGCCCCCAATCCCGTGCGCGCAAGCCATTCTTACAGGCACTCAGACGAGCTTGCGATCCCCCTGCCGCCGTCAGAGGCGGCATGCCGCAATGTTATAGACATGAGGGTCCTGCGACGACTCTATTTCTCTAACCATGGCGGGGAGTGGTCCACTCGTCCAAATTCGAAATGAGAACCCTTCGAAAATGCTGGTTTTCGGCATTTTCGTGCGCTTCAAGGTGTATTTTCGAAATCAGCGCGTCGAATTACCCCAGGTAAGCGAAAAAATTTTAGGTTGAGGACTTGCCGAGCCACTGCCTTTAAGTGAGGGCTGCAGGTGCCGCGCTCTGTCGCAGCCGGCGTGCTCTAGTCGAAATTCGAATTCGCCCACTAGTGTCGGGTAGGGGACTTACATACCCTCGATATCATCCCATATGTCTTCCCTCAACATGACGTGGATTACGTGGCTTGATGAGGCGCCGCCTCGCCTCGGGCTCGCGCCACGTTGCGAGCGCATCATTTGGCGCGACGTGGCGCTCAACACAAAGTGGCGCAGGTTTTCCCACTTTCTTCTTGTTGCCACATCACGCCGAAAATGCGCACGCAACGTGGCGCAAGTCCGAGGCGAGGCGGCGCCTCATCAAGCCAGGTAATCCACGTCATGTTGAGGGAAGACATATGGGATGATATCGAGGGTATGTCGCCGAAAGTGGGCGGCCCTCGCGGTCACTTGCAACAAATACGCATTCATTGTTGCACATGCATGGGTGGAGGACATTAGGTCGCCGAAAGAGGGCGGTCCCCGCGGTCATTTGCGACAAATACGCACCTTTGTACATACGCGGACATGTGTTCCTGCAGGGAATCCGCGCGGGACTCTTCCAAATTCGGCGACCTAATGTCCTCAACCCCACATGCATGGAGGTTCGTTTTCGCAAGGGATCCGCGCGGGACACACCTAGATTCGGCGACATATAGTCCTCCACCCCCATGTATCCAGTGCGGGAAGAACGACTACACCCAACTTGTCAAAGTAGAAAGTTCCACACCTAAAACATACATACTCTGTATGCCCCAGAAAAGTTCCCATGTGAACCAGCGTGCGTACGTGGTGCGACGCTGCCTTTCGTTCTTTTGACACGTTTTTCCTGAGATTCCAACGGAACTGCCCGGGGTTGACACGCTCAAAAAGCGAAAGGCAGCGAGATGACGTGGTACCTATGGGAATCTTGCTGGGAACAAACGATACGCTTGTAGATATGACGCTTGATTTAGTAGTCTTTCGACGCCGCGACTGGTCAAAAAATAACAAAATTTGCGCGCAATTGCTCGCGCGGTTTGCTGGCATCAAGGATGTAGCTGTTTGTTCACAAACAAATTTTGTCGCCCAATCTCGGCACCGCAAAAACACTATATTAAGCGCCAGATCTACTAGCCTATAGTTATACTCACCTCTCTTGTCCAGCAGTATCCCATAATTGAAGGGCAACATTTCTTCCATCTACACATACTGTCTTGACATGGAAGTCAACACCTGGCATTAGAATCTGATGAAAGCGAAGTAGTCAATAAATATATTTCTTACCTAGCGTGCTAGGCAAATTAGCACAATGCTTGCCACTGACAAGCCTCATAACTAAACTGCTTTTTCCAACAGCTGCCTCTCCACACATTACTATTCTAAACGTCCTTTCCGCAGGGCCAGTAGCCGCATGAAGGCCCTGAAAAGAACTCGTGAGGTACCATGCATAAAAGTCTTATGTGAAAATGAGGCTCGAAATCTTCTGAAGATCTCACAGCTTCCCCCCTGGATTGCAGAGACCACCAGGTGATAAAGAAACTGCATAAGGTGAGCGGACAAGGAGGAAAAGCTGGAGGTGGTTCGTGGTAAATGTGGTAGCTGGTAGAGCCTATCGAGAACGTATCATCCACCACACGGTCCACCAACAACTATGAGCTAGTCCCATACGAAGGCTTAAATTCTAGGGGCGGAGCGCGAACTCGTTTATCAACCGCGAAGCGCATGAGGCGCGCACGGCTGTGAAGATACAGTAAGTTTCGACCCGCTTTAGGCGGAAATTGGATTGGCGGGAGTCCGCCTCGCAACAGCTCGCGCCGTTTCGCAGCTACAGTATATCTTATCTTGCTGAGAACCCATGTCTGCGTCTCTTCAATCTCCTTAGTCCTTGCTTGGCAAAATGCCAGCGCTATGCGCTCGCAAAGCCTCCAGCGATGCGCATGCGCTGCTCCACGTGAAATGTCTCGCCTAATCCGGGATGAGACCGACTGTACGTGCGCCGCGTTTGCGCCCGTTCAGATTATATTGCTTGCGCCTATGTTTGGCAGTAGCCTTTGAAGTTGTGAGGCCTTGTGCAAGCAGAGTTTGCCAACAGAAAACATGTGCTTGGGAATAATTATCTCGTCTGCAGGTGCTCAAACAAAGTGCGGCGCCATTGCGACATTATCAATGACGAAATCTGTCCAAACGTATGAGCCTTTCGCTCGTGCGCACGTTGAAAACCTTATTACCAATGGAAAAGTTTTAGCTAGAAAATGACGGCGCCTGAGCCTCTAAAGTATGTTCATTCAGTTCTGACAGTTTTCGGATTTTCAAGGCTCCTGTCTGTAAAGAAACCGAGAAAATTAGTCCGTGTACTCATCAGTTCGACAAATCTCGTGCCACTCTAATATACGCATCGACAATGTGGTTCCTATAGATCATAAATCAAAGAGATCATGCTGTCTGGATAGGGTACGTTCGGTACGGCGAATGGAGGGGACAAGTCATAATGGTGGGGTGCTCGTACAAGAAGATTTCACTCTAAATTTTCGATTTTGAAATTACGTAAGCTAAAAATAATAGTGAAGGACTCCTTCATAAATCAAATTTCTAGCTTGATTAATCGAGTGCTTGCAACTGCTATCATCGCCTGGTAACTGCCCAGATCTTTTGAATAGAAGTATAGGAGAATTCGAGCAAAAGAAGAAGCGAAGTGAACCTGGAACATTTTTTCCGCAAGAGTGTTCTTTTTCGCATTTATGGCTCCTAATTTTTCGCTTTGGCACAACTCAAACAATTGTATCGTCATGACCATTTTTGATTATTTCAGGAGTCTAAATTTTTCTTCTTTTTTTCCACGTTTTTAAGCTTTTGTAAAAATCTATGAAATTTGAAGATTGGCATGCATTTTGAGTAGAAGTTGTGAACTTTGTATATGTGCTCCAAATAACTTTAAGAGCTGCGGGTTCCTACAAAAAAAATCTTGAAACTGACAAATTTCGTATCTTCAGAATTATTGAATTTGGCAAAAGTGCAGTAGAGAAATTATCTTAAAAAATCACAAGTATTTCGGTGGAGACAACAGTTTATAAGCCACTGCAAACTAGAACTCGCATGTTTTCTCATTCGTCGAAAAAGGGTGGAGAGCTATAGAGCTGCTGCATGACGAACGCGCAATTTCTTCGCGCGCGAACGCGGCTTTATTAGCCGCAGGGCGCATGAGGAACAGGATTTACAACCTGAGGATACGCGCGCGCTGCATTCCTCTGCGACTAAGTAGTAGCTCCACAAGTTACCGACATAACAGATTTGTACTAGCTGTCCGCGGGGTGTTGCCTATCGGCAACATATAGTCCCCTACCCGTAGGATTCATTTTTTGCTCAAAATTTTTCGAATCGAGAGTTTCTCGAAAAAATCATCGTTAGAAATTAAACTGACTCTTAGATTCTGAGGAGGTTTTGTGAGAAGAAGGTATGAAAAAGAAAGCAGTGCTGCATCAAACGCATCATGGATTTTATTTTAGCTGTACTTGTGCAAGATGTGGCCCCTCCAAAATTCATAACAGAATTTCTTTTAGCCAGTCAGTAAGGCAAACCCGGGTAGATCGTATATATTTGACCATCTTCGATTGCAACACTATAGTTGCTTTCTAAGGCCATCTGATCGCATTTAAGAATTTGAGAATAATGAGTTGCCAAAATTGATGTCTTACAAAGTGACCAGATGATGCTGATAAGAGGTGCCGATGGTTACCCTCTGCATGCTCCGTGAGTATATTTCCTTGGGCATAAATTTTCCCCAGGCTGATGAAAATTTTGTGACATATGGATGGCTTACCATCATCGCTTCAACGTCTCCTTTAGGTTTTTCCGAATCGCTTGAACAGTTCCCATCTTCAACAGATATTGTGATACCTGAAGCCATAACATTACGATCTAAGACATCCAACCGCAGAGACAGCGTTCTCGCGATGCCGACAACAACCTCAATGAATGATTGCCTGGAGTACACAGCCTCAAGATGTGCGAACAGCGGCAATTTTTTACGCGCAAGTGCTGTCGGCAGCGCAGGTTGATAGAACTGTTGTCGCCAAAAATGCATCATTTTGAAAACAATAGTTCTATCCTTTAATTTGTGTTTTCTTTGATGATTTCCCACCGTCTTCCTCCGGTGATACCTCACTCCAAGTTGGTGGAGTCGGTAACCTTAGACTATCTTGGGTTGGGCTCTGGAAAAGAGCTACCCCTTCGGATGCGGTTCTCACTAAGCTGCTCGGTGACGGTGTTCGCTGAATGAAAACCGTTCAAAACCCGTTCATCTAAGAGACAGCACAACTTTGTTCACCAAGTTGAATTGTCTGATTACTGAAGCACGACTGTCCAGTGCATCTCTGAGGCTTTCGTTAGTGTCATGCAGCTTTTTGTTGGCTTCGCTAAATCATGAGCTGAACCCAATTAGATTTTATGACCAAAAGGATGAATACCTACAAAAGAAGCTGAATCTGACGTTGCATATTTTCACTTTCCTGGGATACAGCAGAGACTTCGTCTGTAACATAGGGGGATGAATTGTTGGTTGCATACGCAAGTGTGCATTCGATAGCGTAAGCTCACCTTTTTGCCGGATTAGTTCATTCTCCTTGTGCTCGTACTCAGCACGAACATGTGCAAGTTCACTCTTGATCATCGCTAATTCAAGATGATTCTCAGCCAAACCACGTCGTAGTTCTGTATTCTCAGAACAAACTTCCTAAAAAAAATTTTTTCTACAAAGAAGCTGAAGGAAATAAAGAGAAGAAGCTTGAAACTGCGTTCTTACTACAGTCTAGTAGATTTTCCGCCTACAATGCCGGCCATTTGCGCGCGCAAAATGCCGGCATTACTGGCGTGGCTATTTGTTCACGCGCAAACTTGGCCGCAAAATGCCGACACCGCAAGTCCACTACATTTAGCGGAAAATATACTAAAGTAGAACTTCGCAGGAATTAAAGTTCACAGCTTGTATCCGTTAAACTAGAGCCAGTCATTTGTATACCTAGTCAAACTGACAGACCTTGAGACGGTCCTGCAACTCTTTCTGATGTGAAAGTTTCTGTCCTTCCTTTTCTAGCACATTTTCCATTTTTTGAAGTCTTTCGATATTGCTTTGCATTGTTCGCATTTCTTCCGCCATTTTCGATTTCATTTCTTCTTTCTCCTTGGTTAATCTCTGTCTCTCCTAAAATTGAATAATTAGTCTTACTTCACAAAAAATCTTTTCGAAAAATGGAGAGATATAATGGTGTCACTCACTTCTTCTCTGGCTTTACGTTCAGCAATCATCACTTGCTGGTCAATTTCTAACTCGACTTCTTCCATTCGTTTGTTGTACATATCTTTTTCTCTGCAAGAATTTTGGGCTCAGATATGATCAAAAACACTAGCGATTTATGTGTTGAAGCCGAAGAGTAGACGACGTTCGACTTAAGGTTTTAAATAGCATGAATGAACCAACGTTTCGAAAACATGCTGTAGTCGCTGATTTTCATCTTTTTGGTCCTTTAATTCCTTGTAAAATGATCCTACAATGCGTTCGTATTTTCGCAAAAGTTGCGGTACTCCAGCATTTTGAAGCTGTTGATATAGCATGACAACCTCCTCGTGGCTGAAAAATCACTTCAACAGTATACTACGCCTCAAAAATGAAAATAATCCTTCCTTTACCTTCATAGAATAAAAAATCGAAAAAAAAAGATCAGTATTAAATCACTTACCAAGGCAGTGCAAAATCAATGCTGGCATTCGTGTCAGATTCTGAATTGTACAATTCCTCTTCGAGAGGGCGGAGACGATTCGGTCGAGCGAACTGGAATGAACGTTATTGTCATACTTTTTCCAAAAGATGAATGAAAATAACATGACTGAATGGAAGCGATGACCAGAAATGTGCTGAGAATCTTAGACTTTTCAGGTACAAAAATTGTACCTGGGAAGAGGACGTTATGTCGCCAAAAGCAAAGTTCCGCGCGGACATCTGCAACAAACCACCCACTTCTGCACATTATATGCTCGCGTCAGATGTCTGCGCGGGTGGAGCCTAACGGCCACATGTCCTTTACCCGATGTATTTTTGAAGTGAGCATGAGTGAAAATTGGGATGTGAGGCAGTAATTTGACATGACGATGTTGGCCAACGGTGGCCCATGCATTTTGCTACGACGGCGCGGACCATCAGAATCTCAGCCAAGATTTGCGCAAAATTGTTTAATTCACAGCCAGTAGCACTGTTTTTCAGTGAAAGACTTTCCAAAAGCGAAAGCTATGCACATAAAAAGCTTACCGATGACTCTGCATCGCTGTCAAAAACTTCATCACCAGGCCGTATCGGGGGCAAATCAGAAATGTCCATCAATTTGCCTTCTGAATTGCCGTAGTCGATGAGACTTGCCCGACGTTTCATCCCTCCGTATCCTGGACTTCCACTCCAATTAAAATCACATACCTTGAGCGGCCAAAATACTTTCAATAGCACCTCTACTTTCTCCTTCGAGTACAGCTTTGTTAAAACCATGACAGAATTCTTCTTTGTCGATTCTGCCGGATCCATCGGTATCTAACTGCGCGAAAATGAATTCAATGTCCTGAAAATGTAACAGTGCTAAATATTTCCAGCGAATAACAAGAAGATTTATAAATGATAATTTTGTTACCTTCTGATCAAGTTGTGGGCAAATGTGGTGAAGATCTTGCTCAGTCAAATAACCCTTCCCTTCTGGATCACATAGATTGAACAATCGCTCCACTTCAGACATTGTCTGACATTAGCTGATTAATTAGAACGAGAATACTCCAGCGTAGGACGCAATCGACCATTCAAGCCGAATACGCTGCTTATATGAGAACTGTTAACCATGAATAACAATGTGATAGAAATCGATGATGTAGCAAGTGACAGTCATGGTCAAAAGTGCTTGTTGCTGCTCTCTTTTGAATTTTTGGGCTGAAAATTGGGGCGAGGAGTGTAGACTGGCAACGGTGGTAGTGGTCAATCAAGTTAGGAGAGATTACTGAGATTAAGCTTAATGGTTATTCGTACACAGAGTAATTTCGACATCATAGTTCCTAGAAACAGCTTGGGATGACGTGGTGATTTTTGGCTACTGTTGTGTTTTCATGTGACTAACACTTTGACGTTTTTGCAAAAATGTGAAACAGAAAAGTGAGCATCGTCCCAAAAAAAAAACAGATAACAGAGGCAAGGCAGTTATAATATTGATAGGTTGCAGAGGAATTTTCCGGGCACTTAGGAAAACTCTTTATTTTTTCGGTGCACTTATAATAACGCAATCGCTTGAATCATGAAGTGAATTTTTCCATTCATGAAGCAAACTTCGCCAAGGGCCCAGGAACTTTCTTTACAACCAAGTGTTCCCCAGCATACACATTTGTGGTAAGCTATTGCTCTATGCTAGCAATGGACTATTGCCTGTTGGACGTCCCGAATAATCAGAAAGAAAAGAAACGAGTTTATTAACTCTCCTTTTTAAGCTTCTGATATGATGGTGCGATGTGACTTGGACCAAAAATATTGAAAATCTCTCGTGGTATTAAGTTTTGTCTGATTTGTACAAATGGCTTATCTAATACCCCACAATTATCACTTCTCACAGTATGAAGATTTTATTGTAGCAAATTACATCAATCCCAGTCACGAAGCCCTATCACTGATAAGTGGGCGATAACAAATTACAAAAATTTTGAGATTTTCGACAATCTACAGATAGCGAGATCGAAGAATTTTACTATTCCATACCCCCTATTGGGAAACGAAGTTATTTAACGGCGAACTTCTCAGAAAATGAAAGAAACTCAACTTAAACCTAAACTTTTAGGACAATATCTGTCTGCAATATTTTCCATTTAGAAGAGATAGAGTGTTTGGATACCAGCGTGTGTAGATTAAAGAACAAATGGCTGAATCTTGAGTTGAGTTTATGAGCAACTTCAGCTCATGCTGTAACCATATTAATGAATTGTAAATTTAACCTAGATTTGATGAACATAACATATAATAACAACTATTACAAAGCGGTGACTCAATGAAAATGTATGTCAAATAGATCCATGTAGCATTTACAAATGACTGAATTTGTCATACATAAGTCAAATCTTAGAGCAAGCCACCATCAAACTTGCAGTCGCCAAAATGATGTGTAGTACTCACAGATCAAATAAGGGAGAGTGAACTCGTTCATATAATATAGCTACCTAAGCAGATGACATCAAGTGTTGTACAATTTTTTAGTACTCAGAAACAAATTCTCATCTTGCACTTCTTTTGCGGAAAGCAAAGACCATTTTGTGTTTTGATTGTCAAAGAACTATGGGATAGTTGAGATGACGAGAATGAACAAAGGTGTTTGCTTAGACAATAGTAATTATATAAGTTATTTGAAATCTGTAGCAGCAACTGAGCATAGAACGATGCCGTTCCTTTGCTCAGATTTTTGGCAATTAGTTGAAAATTACTGCATTTGGTCACTTTCAAATCGACTTCAATGGAAAAGAGAATTGACAAAGAAACACGAGCCAGAAGGACATCATGAATGATTTCACGAAATCATGAATCGACTGATCGATATCCAACAGAGTATAACAATGGAGAGATTGCATCGGGGCCATCATCAATCAAAGTAAGTTTTGAAGATTATATCCTCTTTTTTGCTCATCTTTTCGCTATATTTGCATGAGCTAAAGAGTCAAAAGTCTAGGTAAAAGTTTGAATGCAAAAACTGCCACGAAGGGGTGCTTTCTGAATGGATATAGAGGATTAATAGGCAGTAAACAAAAAGACCGGTAGAAAAGTGCTATTGAACCAAATACGGACGTCCTCGAAAATTCTATGCTTTATACAAGCATCGATCAATTATCCTGGCAAAGCAAACAATTTTGGCAATTTTACACGACCTTTAAGGTTAGATACACACATAACTCAGGTTTCGAAAATTAGAGAAATACGGAAATGAAGTTTTACATGGCAATGATCTAGAATGCCAGAGGGTTTATTGTCTAGAAGAATAAGAGAACGAAAAGTAGGTCCATAGGAAGTGCTGGACATGGAAATTAGAGAAAAAAAAGCAAGAAATGGGCCAGAATACCGTATCGACGATTATCGAAGTGGGCAGAGCTCATACATGTTGAGCAAAATTAATCTCTTCTTTGTAACGGAAAATTTTTGAAGTATGCCACAATCCTGGAGAAATCGTCTACGGTGCTGGAGCTCGAATAATCTTCATTCAAAGACGACTTTCGATCAAAGTACGTGGTCAGAATAGGAAAAAAGGAAGCACAATATTCTGACTGGAAGCCGAAATATTCGGAATCGACGATTTCGAAATCACTGTGTGATCAGGCCGCTCGTCGAACAATACGCATCGGAGCAGCCATGTATGTCGCATCAACGCCGAAATGGCTGGCAAAAACGAATTTTTTCGCATATATGTACGCTTGACGAGTAATAAAGAATGTTAGCAACTTATTCAACCCTTCAATCACACAAGGAGCAGGGTGTTTCTTTCTTAGTTGGAGACAACGCTCCAAGGGAATGCGACGTGTAACAAATTGATTTTAACGCAATGTTGGATGATTTCCGAAGCTTACGAAAGGCAGCGCTAATTGCTCTGTAGTCTGCATTGTACTGACTACCTTAATTTGCTTTTTATTGTTCATTCAATGTCCTTAGTCATTAAACAGGCACGATATTGGTAGTGTACTCTGGAAGAGCTTAGGATCACATTCGCTAGCCGTGCATAGCTGCAATTTGCCGAGTCCTATTGGTTAGTTGTGCCCTCAGCTGATGTGTTGCAATATACAGTTCTCCTATTGATAATTATTGTGAACATTGAATCCGAAAACAGTGAAAGAGGAGGGGCGGGGGAAGCGGGAGGGGGGAGATACATCCTGTGTAATCATGTACACCTTCCCATCCGCGCGATCTCCACGCCAAAACTTCGCTCCACGTTCGCCTATAGTGGGGCATTAGAATAATAGTCAGTGTCTCGGCAAAAAGTCGGTTTGAGATTTTGTGCTTACCCGGGCCTATTCGCTATGGTGAACAGAGGTGCGATAGTCGGAGCCGATTCTCCGCCTACCTTCACTTTTGAGCTGGTACAGGGTGACCACCTTCACTTTTGGGTTTGGAAATTTTTTTCGCTGAAGCTCAAAAGAAGGAAAATAAGCAAAAAGAATGTAAAGGAAAGTATTAAAACATATATTTTTGTAGTAGGTCGATCCAGGCAGTAACCGCCGAGAACCAGAATTTCGAATGATAAAATAATGAAAAATCGTGAAAAATCGTCCCACTGTTACAAATCTGCTGACTGAAGACCTCCGCAGTTGCGACTTCATAGGTTTTGAAGGGTAAGTGTTGTTCTACCAGACAGTGAAAAAATCAGTTTGATTTGAGGAGTGGCCGCCGAGAACGAGAATTTTGAAAAACCTTAGAAATCTTCTCAATTCTAGGTTGCTCAATGACAACTGACATTTAAACTCTTATAAATCCGGACTTTGAAGGTGTGTGATGTTGCGACTTTATAGTTTTGTAGGGTGAGGTTTGCCCTATCAGAATATCTTAGCTGTACCGATCCATTGAAACATCGCCGAGATCCAGGCTCTTAAAAAAGCAGGTAAAAAACCGTTTTTCAGCTCATAACTTCTTCAGAATTGCATAATCCATGTTGCGACTTCATAAATTGGATTCTCCTCATCAAGAGCTTTCAGATGATATATATTATGTGGGGGATTCGGTGTTTCTTGCGGCTCTAACCCGGGGTGGAGTACTCCTCTTCACTAATTCTCCACCCCGCCCATTTCAATGTATTGGCGGGAGGCCCCTAGTGGAGAATTAGTGAAGCTTTCAAATGATATATAATATATATATGTGGGGGATTCGCGCCACCCCCGGGCATATGCCGTGGGAGGCGCGAATCCCCCACATGTTATATATCATTTGAAAGCTCTTGATGAGGAGAATCCAACCTATGAAGTCGCAACATGAATTATGCAATTCTGAAGAAGTTATGGGTTGAAAAACGGTTTTTTACCTGCTTCTTTAAGAGCCTGGATCTCGGCGATGTTTCAATGGGTCGGTACAGATAAGACATATTCTGATAGGGCAAACCTCACCATACAAAACCTATGAAGTCGCAACATCACACACCTTCAAAGTCCGGATTTATAAAAGTTTAAATGTCAGTTGTCATTAAGCAACCTAAAATTGAGAAGATTTTTAAGGTTTTTCAAAATTCTCGTTCTCAGCGGCCACTTTTCAAATCAAACTGATTTTTTCATTATCTGGTAGAACAACACTTGCCCTTCAAAACCTATGAAGTCGCAATTGCGGAGGTCTTTAGCCAGCAGATTGGTAATAGTGGAATGATTTTTCACGATTTTTCATTACTTTATCATTCGAAATTCTGGTTCTCGGCGGTTACTGCCTGGATCGACATACTTTCTTCGAAGTACGTCATAACAAAATGTACTTGATGAAACACACAAAGTCTAGCTGAATATCGCTCACAAATACATTGTTTCATTAACACCTTTATGTAAAATATTTATGCACTTGTACTCATTGTATTTGTGGCCCTAAGGAGGGCCGTTGGGTCACAGTTATTGGCCCTGAAGAGGGCCGTTGGGTTAGAGCTCTTCAGTTGTCCGAAGTCATCATGAAGCTTTGCTCTATCGTAGAAAGTGCTGAGACGTATATGCGTCCATGCCGGTGATGGCCTCCAGGTGCTCGCAGTAGGCGACGGCGACTTCGTAAAAACAAACTACATAGAATACGCTCTCAATACTTTCTTTTGCGTTCGTTTTGCTAAATTTCCTTTTTTC